CTTTTGGCTGCTGCTTCTACAACGCTGCCTGAAGATATAGTGCAAGAAGCTAAATACCTAATTTCCTAATTCTAAACTGGTAATTACTACTTTTGGTATTTTTATACCAAATGAAGCACCGCTTCATTTTAGGTGTGACCAAATCGATGTATAAAGCTCAGTATTTTTATGCTGAAATACTAAAACTGGTAAAATTGTGTTCAGTGGGACTACTATTATTTTGAACTGATCTGTGGCTTTACTGCGGTTGCCTGTTCCATTTTCATGCTGCGGCACGTAAAGCTGGAACACATCGTAAAAGTTTGGTACAAAGTTGGGTACATAGCCAGTTGCCTTGCTATATAAGGCGCGTATGTGGAATTCTGTGTGTGTGTTTGTGTGAGGGGGAATCTGCAAGTTGGCGCTGTTGTTGGGCACTAAATAAAAGCGAAACTTGTTTGCGATGTTTGTTCGGTTTTTTTCTTTCCCATTGCCCCTCCTCACCCATTGTTCTTCCTCTTCTCGCAGTCTGCTGGTTGGGGCCTTGAATGGGATCCTGCCTCGCAAACTTGAACTTGCTGGTGTGTCTGTGTGCGAAGAGTGGGGATAGAGTTGAGTCTTCCGCTGTCTCTTTCGCCTGGCAGTTGGAGCATGCACACTTGGAAAAAGTATGCAAACCTTAAAGTTTAAAAATCAGTTTGCTAAAATTATAAGCAACATTAATTTCTGTAAAAAATACTACAATTTTTGAGGCTATTATAGAGGGCTTCGTATTTGGAATAAAGTGTTTTGGTTCCATCCAAGTAACTTCTCTGTGGTTTGTTTCAGTTTGACTGTTTGCTGTTTCCTCGATGATATCATGGCTATACTTTTCTGAATGTGTGTGTCAGTCAGGCAGTGGCTACTTCACTTTTTGTTCCTCGTCTTCTTATAGTTTCTGCACTGCGTTTTTTTGCAACATTATCTCTTTATCAGTTGACAGAGAAGACCTTGAGACGCCTGGTTGGCCATTAAGAATCGCAGCTTAGAAGGGTTCCATGAGGGGCTAAAAACACTTAAAAAGAGACGGCGAACAGGAAGCCCTGTACCCCGACAGAAATTATAAATTAAATCAGTTTTAGCCAGTGCCAACTGCACACGCTCTTGTTATCCTTGTTTCCTTTTACAGGGGCTCTCAAAGGAAACCCCAAAAAGGCAGACACCAAATTATAATTATAATAACCATGATGATAATGCACCCTTCCCACTGTCCACTCATCAGGGCTTTTGTATTTTCGGGGTTTCGGGGAAGCTCGCTCAGGTGAAACAGGTTGAGCGACAGCAAAAAGGCCAAGAAATATGCATTCACAACATGGCAAACTCATATATTTGTATACCTGATTGTGGGCACGGGTGCACTGAAACAAATAATGCGAACTAACTCTACAAACTTCAGAGTTCTGCAAGAATTCGCATACGAGTATATCACTGATTTTAAGACAGCTACATTGGTACAATGAAATTCTTGAAAATCTTTACATTTTTTTTTTAGTGCATAATAAATGTGTATTTGTGAGCTGCCATTTGCACACACTTGACGTTTTCTCATTTTTTGGACATATATATTTTTATGACAACGACAATTTGACAGGCAGACGACCAAGAAAAAGTTGCGAGAAGCGGAGCATAAAAACAGAATTATCATAATTATCGAGACCTTTGTTTATGACAAACATCAGGAGCAGCTTGCAAATGCATGTGTCTGTATGAATTGTGTGAAGACATGTGTAGGGATCATTTTGGGTTGGCTTTATGGTATTTCTGCTATATATTTATATACATATAGTTGCATTTGTTGCTCAATTGATTTCAGTAAAGCGAACAGGAGAATTCTGCAACTCAAGTCATGCTTCGTTTGGTTGCAAAAGAAGTGTAATGTATTCGGTGTCTTCAAAAGCCCCTTAGTATGCTAATTTCATTGAAAAGAGTCAACAGATTCGGCTTGTTGATTCGCTTCCTGGCGGAATCATTCACTTTTCCGGTGAGCACAATTGTGCCCGTCACTACACACAGCTATCTCCCAAATGAACCAAAGTAATCCTGGCCGTCATTAATCAAGACTGGCTCACTCCACGAATTTCCCAGGCCAAAACTCTTTTCACTAACTGTTACTTTTGCTGACGGGTTCTGTGCGTCGCGCAATTTAAATGAATTTTTTCCACACTTCATTTTCGTTTATTCTGTGTCATGCTCTATCATCATTAAAACGTCCAAATCGCTTCCTTTGTGCCTCTAGTTTTTTCGGCAACAATTTGCTTATCTAGATTCACCATCAACAGGCGGACACGAGGGTACCACAAAATACAGGTGACCATATATATAGGGGTATACTCGTATGGTACAACTGGGGGTCTGTTGGTGGCCTGAAAACCACTTGAGCGTGTTTCCTTTTGACCAGCAAAGTTCGGTTGTTTAACGTTTGCACTGTGTGGCTTTCATTTGTGCCAGCCGCCATGCCACGCCCCCCTTCCCCTACCCCTCCCCAACACCAACGCCCACCCCCTTTTCCACCTGCAGCATTTTCACACTCACTTCATTTAATTTAATTTGGGAGTATTTTTCGGCTGCCGCGGCGGGGAAAACATTGTAAACTGATACCAGCCTAATGATGTCGATCCGCAGCTCTCTGCGTCTTTGGTCCTAGACATGTGTTTTTAGGTGTCCTACACTGGGAAGAACGCTTTGAAACCTTAACAACAACATTTGCTTAGTGAACATTCTGATTTCTTTGAAATAATAATGCTATGTTTTGTTACCACTTGCAATATATTTATGAAATTATATTCCTTTCTGACAGCCAGTTTTTCCTAGTGTTGCCTTCTCTATGTGTGCCTAAGCATTAATTAATTTTAATGAAGCTGTTGCTGATGTGCGTGTTAAGTATCCCAAATTACAGTCAAATGTACGATAATTTTGGTTTTTTGGGAGTGACAGTTGACAGCTTGAAATTGCGGCTTTTAGGGCTGCAGTTGGTTTTTGGTTTTTCGGAATCGTGGATGCGCATCGATAGCTGGGCAAATGCCTGATTCGTATCTCCCCTGAAGAGCCAGGATTCGGAATTTACTCCTGGTTTTGGTCAAGTGTCGATAAGACAACCTTTGGCTTCTCGCATCTCTGCCAAAGTTGAGAAGGGGCAGGAGCAGCACAGGCTGCAACGACGTAATCGAAAACCAGTTTTGTGGCTGGAAAAATGTTCATTATAGGGATTTCTCCTTTGTACGAGTATATTGGGTACATAAGGCTCGAGAAGTGGTTTGGCAACCCTTTTTGACACACAAACACCATTGCACTCGGGGAGTAAATGCAGTTTTTAACGAGGCACGTACACATGCCTGTTTAGATGCCACTCCGATGCATTTTCAGCTTTTTTTTCGCTGCATTGCAATCACGCCGCTGTTGCATGTTGCATGATGCATGTGCGTGCCCCTTGCCACGAAAAGCAGGGTGGTTCACTCTTGATCTTGAGAGTACAATTGTTTCAAGGTTGCCGAAGAAAAATTATGGTGGATATTATTTCAAATACTCCAAAGCGATCCGAAAAGATCTTTTGGTGTGTAATATATGTAAATATATTATTTAATTTAATGAATCATTTTAAATAGGCTTGAAGCTTGTCCGCTCAAGAGAGCGTCCGTCAAGAGACTTGTATCATTTTGCAAAACGTGTCGACCGGAGGTACCCTAGCCACTTTTAGTTGACTTGCTACCCCAGCTATATATAACTCGATTTATGTACGGACTCTGACAGACTTTGTACATACATTGTTTATGCAATTCTCGTGACTCCTTTTGGTTCTGTTTTATCGGCTCGTTGTGGTTTTACATTCGCCTGGCTTTTTGCAGCTCCTCTCTGGGCCTGCTGTTATTGTTTATTCTGCTTTGGTAGTATTTATACAGCCGCTCCTCAGTGGCGTCCGTCCAAATGTCCGCTGCTCCTTAGACCTTGACCACTAACATAGAAACAGGCCGAAACCGGTTGACGGGCCAACTCGATTTGCACAATTGGCAGTCCTGCCTGCCCCCTTTGGTGCCCCATCCATTGCATATATACTCTATATGTATATACTTGCTTATATATACATATGTATGTATATGTATGAATATGCGATTCAATTACCGAATCACACCCACGCAACTGGTAACTGCGATCCGTGGATTCGGCTAGCTGTCAAACCGCCAATTAATGGCCCAAACAATGACGGCCAACTGATGGACAGAATGTGTCACAAATTAATGAAAACGATTTCTATTATCATATTTATACACTATATTATGGAGGTGTTTAGGCCAAAGTGATGGAATTATACACATATTGGTTTATACATTTTTTGCTGTTTTGAACCACCTTATAAACATATTCAACATCATAAAGACTCGTAAAAAAGAGTATATCATTTGAGAGGTCTATAGGGTGTTTAAAGTTCCTGCTTGCAGTCCACAATTTTTGTCTATTGTAATATTTATCCAGTGTTCGCACGAACATCGGTTAGTCAGGTTTTGTGGGTGGGGATTACGGGCTGTGCATTTTAATTGATGCGGGATTATGGGTGCCACAAAGCTGGGAGGCGACCAAAGGGTTGCCGAAATTAATTACCAAAATGTTTGTTAATTTTCATAATTACAGGTCAGCCGGGCACGACTTTTCCTTTGGGGGATTGCGATTGGGATCGTGTGTGAGCGGAGGAGGAAGAAACAGACATTTGCCGCTCGATAAAGTGACTTAATAGCAGGCCTCGGGAAGAAAATGAACCACGAGGAGCAGGGAATGTCTTCCGGAGTTGAGGAACCCCCATACCTATTCCCCCGAAATCCCCTATGATTGCCAGTCCCCTCGAGATGACCTAATTCTGTTCTGTTTGGTTCGAGGAACAAAGGCAACCTACTTGTCATAATAAAAATTATTCAAAAACCGGCATGTGTGCATGGCGCTTCCTCCTTCTACTGATGGATTTTATTCAGTTTTTTTGTTGGAAACTTGAGCCCCTAATGTTGTTGGCAATCACGTGTTCCGACTTCGATTCACCTCGTATCATTTGACCCCTTTTCCATTCTGGATATACGTACTCGTATGTATAGCCCTCTATGCAGATCGAGCTAGAAGCAATTCTGATTCTGGAACCCGACCTTGTTTACTCTTCTTGGATTTCAAAACATCCCAGCACTAATTGATGCCCAACTTGTTGATGAACTCTGCCCAAATTGGAGCACAAAAGAAGCACTCACTAAGCTCTTTGCGCGATTGAATATTTATTTGTTAATTGAACTGCTCCAGAGTGCTTCAGAGGCTGGTGAGGGCGTTCTGTGAGGGGTAATACAATTCGTTACTCATCAGATTAGCAACTGCCACTGCTTAAGGGCCACTTACAGCCAGATCTCCTAGGCCAGCATTTAGTTGCTTTATATAGGGGGCAGCAGCATCAGCAGCAGCGGCAATAGTCTTGGCACTCACAGCCTGGAAATCAAGAATAATTAGTATAATTTATATGGAATTCTTGACCTTGGGTCAAGCTTACTCCGCCTTCAGCTATAATAGAAGCACCATTGGACTAAGAATGTGAAAATTTTATTAATTTTATATTTTATTAAAGATTATATGATGTAACATACCGAAAGACTGCGCGCCTGAGGCCCGTTCTTCATCTGAGCACTAAGACTGGTAATGGCATTCTATAAAAATGGAAAACCAAGCTTATACTGGAAAGCTTCCAATTGAATTTTCAGATCTGTAACTTACAGCCAGATCTCCAAGACCCGTGCCCACTCCACCCAGAACATCGCCCAAAAGATTGGTGGCCTCGGGTTGCATATAATCGTTCTCCACTTTTAAACTAGTAATGGCGTTCTAAAAGAATATTAAATATTTTAGGTATTTCAAGTATTTCAACTTCAAAATAAATATGTAGTAGACAGCATATTACAGACAGATCTCCCAAGGCGTTTCCCATGTCGCTTAGGATGTTCAAAGTGGTGGGCTGGACAAAATCCGATTGGGAGCTGGTCACAGCGTTTTCCAGTTGATGGATGACCTTCTCCCCGGCAATGGCCACTTGGGACACATCTCCCATCAGGTACCCAAGGGTGAGGGTTCCAGCTCTAGCACTTTGGGCCCCCAGGACGAAGGCAAAAAGGGTTAGAATTGTAGAAGATTGCATGTTGTTGCTTTTCGTAATATCGGTGAATTACTGAATCACTTCTATTAGCAACACTGCATTTATAGGCATTTCTTATCAGTTGGTTTATGTGGGAGTTACCGACTTCTTTGACGCCGCCAATAAAAACGAATCACACATGAGTGCTTCTTGATTCCCAACTGATTGGCGGTAGGTTTTGATTCTGATTGATCGCTCATTTGATTTAATTTCAGGGTATTTCTTACGGTATCTATAATGTTATTTAATCTGTAATCGACAGTCTCAAGTCCTAGTATCAGGAAGCTAAAAATAAATCGACTGTAAACGTTCAGAAGTCCAAACAGAAATTGAAAAGTGATTTCATAGAAAGCCAGCTCTTAAAATATGACAAGTGCATGGGTCATTATATGCTCGTTCATTTATTAGGATAAATGAGAAGAAGATTAGAGAAACATTTTAAAAAATGGAGTGGAAAATGTGGCTTGCATCATGTGCAACATTTCCAGCAGCGTTAGCTACATCTCCAGCGACATTTCCAGCTGCATTAGCAACATCTCCAGCAACATTGCTTGCGGCATTTGCAATATCTCCAGCAACATTTCCAGCAGCATTAGCAACATCTCCAGCAGCATTTGCTGCACTTCCAGCGACACTTCCAGCAGCACCAGCAACATCTCCAGCAACATTCCCAGCAGCATTTGCAACATCACCGGCGGCATTCGCTGCACTTCCAGCGACATTTCCAGCAGCATTTGCAACATCACCGGCGGCATTCGCTGCACTTCCAGCGACATTTCCAGCAGCATTTCCAATATCACCTCCAATCTTGCCAGCGTCGTGGTAAATGTGTCCAGCAGATCCAGCTACACTCGAGGCCGCATTTCCAGCAGCATGAGCAACATCTCCAGCAGCATTTCCAGCAGCGTTTCCAATGTCACCACCAACCTTGCCGGCGTCGTGGAAGATGTTTCCAGCAGCACTTGCAACACTAGATGCAGCACCGGCAGCATCGTGACCAATAGTGCCAGCAGCTCCAGCGACACTCGAGGCCACATTTCCAGCAGCATGAGCAACATCTCCAGCAGCATTTCCAGCAGCACTTCCAATGTCACCACCAACCTTGCCGGCGTCGTGGAAGATGTGTCCAGCAGCTCCAGCGACACTCGAGGCCGTATTTCCAGCAGCATGAGCAACATCTCCAGCAGCATTTCCAGCAGCGTTTCCAATGTCACCACCAACCTTGCCGGCGTCGTGGAAAATGTGTCCAGCAGCACTTGCAACACTAGATGCAGCACCAGCAGCATCGTGACCAATAGTGCCAGCAGCTCCAGCTACACTCGAGGCCACATTTCCAGCAGCGTTGGCCACATCATGAGCAGCCTTTCCGGCCGACTCTGCTACCTTATTTCCCAGCTTGGAAGCAGCGCCATCGGTGGAACAGGTGCAGGCACAGGTAACCGAAGGATTCTCGTTGGCACTTGATACATCGCGCTTACTGACAGATTTCTGCGAAAAACGATAGTAGCATTTGAATGTGGAATATGATGCATTCATCGTCATTTTATACCTTAGTGGTTTGATTGGCAGACTGCTTCGCTTTTATTTCTGCATTGGCTGCCGCTTCCTTTAAAGAAATGAAAAACATTTGAAGAATTCTAAAATGCTTCTGTACTGGTTTCACTCACCGCATCCTGGGCGACTTGATTTCCAAAGTTAATGGCGCTATTGGCAGCCTCTTGTCCTAACAAATTGCCCTCATCTCCCAATTCGTGACCAAACATGTTGCCATCCATTCCAAGTTCCCAACCGGAGGAGGCATTTTCCTACATACGTTCAAGTATTGCTATATGCAAAGCTTTCCCTTAGATTTTGAAATACTTACGGCTGCTTCTCCATACTTCAAGCCGCTTTTAGCGGCTTCTTGGCCATATTGAATGACCTCTTGGCCTAGTTCATTGCCGAAAGTGGAGGCATCCTGACCGATTTGGTTGGCCTAAAATTGTATATTCTATAGAAAAGCTTTTCAAATTTCCGTTTATATTTAATTACCAAGGTATTGGACACACTTTTTGCGCTCGTCTGGTGTTGTCCAACTAAGGAAATCACCAACAAAAGACTGACTACTATTATTTTCATGTTTGAATATCGAACTAAAGATAATTGCGAAATTTCCATCCTTTATATACGAAAAATTTAGCACTTTTATCTATGGTTCAAAGTTCTTATCTAAGACCCAGTTTTGTGAGCGATCCATTTTAAACACTGTTGCATTGTGACAATTATTTCCGCTAGTCTAGAAAAAAGTACGCAAAAAGCGATTTCGATGTCTCCTAGGTCTGGTTTTTTATCTTGAAGGTGTCCGCAATTTGATTAAACACCCTAATTATGTTTTTATTACATATAGCTAACGAAGTTAATGCACTTAAAATGTATGATTTAATCACCCGTCGAGAGCTCAAACTTAGGAATATACATCGATCGTTAACATGTTTTGATAAGAAATTATGTATACCATTTATTTAATGGACTGAAGAACTCGCTCTTATCAATTAGAACAGAATCGCTTTACTTGGGGTATTTTCTTGTGAATGAATAAGCACTAAAAAGCTATTTTTATTATCAGTGAGTAAACATTTCGTTGTTAGTAAGCAAATCAGTAGATTGTGAAGTATATTATCTACATATCTTCGCCTTTAAGTGGAAAGTATCTATAAGGATTGGGCATTCCATTGGGCAGCAATCGCCTGCCAGTTCGTCGCATTTTCAGTTTTTTTACGAGTGTATTGTGATCCAGCGTTTTTTTGGGATTTCGGTAGTTGTTAAATGTAAAATTTAAGAAATATTCAGGCTGCTTCTTTTTCTTGCCGGTTAAACTCGTATGTTTTTTCCCTTTTGGTAGTTGGTAGGAAAATCGAATATTGGTGTTGTCGGTTGGTTGAATGTGGAAAACCTTTCCATCATGGTCTTCCGAATTGGACTACAAAAGTCATATAATTATTGTTTAATGTTCCACATGTCAGACTTTATGGCTTACAAGCTGTTTCTCTGTTTTTTTTGCGCCTAATAACTTGGTCTGCATTTCTTGGGCAAACAGAACTAAAAGGGTTAGATATATTAACAATGTGGCTTCCATTCTAGAAATGCTTTTAAGTAAACAATTCTCAAAAGAGATTGTCTGGGAAATCAATTCGTTGCACTTAACCCTATTTATTTTTTTAAATGTACCTATTTTTCATTAACAAAAATTAGTGCAATATGCGAAGATCTGCTTTATTAACAGTAATTAGGAAACATTTCGTTTCCAAAGAAACAATATTTTTATGTAGAAGTTTGGTGACAACCTTGTGATCTCAAAATACAATAAAGTTTCCACGCACTCTGGGCTTGGTATTGGTTTTCCTTTGAATATAATTACTGAGATTTTCCTGCACAGAAATGAAGAGGGTAAATAATAAATTAAAATATTTTAACAGAGCCTTTAGAACTCACGAAGGCCTTGGAGATTTTCCTGGAATCCTTGCCAGTGATTACGCTGCCGAATTCAAAGTGCGATTGCATATTTTCCATGGCATCATCGATCTCCTTCTCAATTGCAACAGCCTCAGATGATTCATCTGAGTGCCCAAACAATAGTGCTGGTTGTGGAGCAATCAGCAGGAATAGTGCCACTGTGGCCACCATTCGACTCACCTGGCTCATTCCGCCCATTGGAGGCTTTCAACTCGAGTTGCTCGACATCCAATCCACTTAATTCCCGAATTATCCACGGAATCGCTTTGGGAAATCGCTTCGTTGCACTTCTCCAATCTCGGATCCCTTGCCCTTACAAACAGGCAATGCCAGCTGCTGTAGTTCCAAATCAAGCATCGCTTTACGACGATTTTTATGCAGCCCGCCAGCGATTTGATAGATTTTTGCATAAAATGATTCCCAGCACTTCCGTTACGTGACATTTCGGGTGCTGTTCGCCTAATGTAAACAAGTTATAAAACGCTCGTAAAAGGCCAGTGCGAATGCGAAACTATGGCCACATAAAAAGGCTATAAAACCTGGAGCTTTTGCCACCGCACTCTATAAAAAATGGGGGTAGAGCGCTGAAATGCAAAATGCTGAAATCGTAAAGCAACAACCTCAGGACCTCGTGACCTCAGAAGGGGGTCAATGACAAGGAACAGGGGAAGTTTGTGTCAAAGGTGACCCGTACCGCTGTTTTAACCCCAACTCTCATTATCGCCAAATCAAAATGCGTTTGTCAATGAATTAGAATCGCTTCGCTGGCGTTGCCGCTCGTAAAGTATTTGCCTTTGTTATAGCATTTTGCACGTTTTACTACTTACACAAAATAGGCAAATGGTTACAGATTTTATTCCTCAGATTTTTAGCGTTTTAGTTGCTCATGCACAATGATTAAAGTTCCTTTTTAAGCAACGCCCATGAATTGACTATGTTAATTTCCGTACTTGCTGCCACTACTTTCCCAACTACTTTTTTTGCGACGAGTGTCGGCAACACTGCTGGAAAATCAACCCCAAAATTATGCCAACAAAGGAAGAACACTCGACTTCATGGCTTGCTATGTTGAAATTGCGCATTTGACAGCGTGTGGGTATAGGCAGCGTGGCCGAGCGGTCTAAGGCGCTGGTTTTAGGCACCAGTCCGAAAGGGCGTGGGTTCGAATCCCACCGCTGTCACAGTTTTTTGTTCTTTTTTTGTATCATTGGAAATCTTTTTTAAGCCATAGAGATTTCTGAAAAAGATACGTTGACATTTTTATTTAAGCTGTGTTTTTACCCTTATCAGTCTTGCTTTCGTTTTTTTCGGTATTTCCCTTATAAAGTGCTAAACAGCAAGCTGTTATATAAACTATTTTGATTAGCCTTGGTTATATTTCTTTACCAGGTGCTAAATGCTTATTCAGAATATATTGGAATTAATCTTATTTCCAAATTGGATATAAATAATACAGCGAAATTAATTATATTCTTATTTAAGTTGATTGTTATTATAATTAGGATTATTATTACGATTATTATTATTATATTATTTTTTTTATTATTATTACTTTTTTGTTTTTGGTTTGGTTATTATTTTGCATAACTACAAACACATTGTTTAAAAACATATTTCTAGTGCTTGGGTTCTGTGATTGTCATTTATTTTGCCGACACCACAGCCAAAATATTTGAGAGATTGCCCATTTAAAGGGACATTAAAGACACAATTCTGCAGTACTTACAAATAATTGTTATTAATTGTGTCGTTGTTAATCTCGTTAAGAGTTTATAATTTATAAAAACAACCACAAAACCTTAGCTTTAAAACCACCAAACAAATCAGAATATGGTTTATGGTGTTTAGCGTTGAAAAAGTGAGACTAATCCACAAACACAATTACTTCGAGTAATTACTCAAATACAATTATTCTCTTTTTAAAAAAAAAAAACTAACACTTTGTTGTTCAGAACCTTTTATTTTCTAGACGGCGGATGGCGCCTCGTTGCGGCAGCGTGGCCGAGCGGTCTAAGGCGCTGGTTTTAGGCACCAGTCCGAAAGGGCGTGGGTTCGAATCCCACCGCTGTCAAGTTGAATTCTTTTTTTTAGATAATTGAACAGCAGGATGCTGCGTTTCTTACATATTCCACGCCCAATTAGACTGGGACCTAATGGGACTGCTGAGCCCGTGGCCTGCTTTTCCGGTACACAAAGACTCCGTTTATCTGGCGCTGACATTTTCCGCGTGCTGCCTTTCAACTTTTCCTTTCCGTCTGCTCAACCCTTTTGCGGTAACATGTTGATCCCCTTAACAACCCGCAACGCAGGGGAAATTCCAGGAAATTAAAGGGTTTGCCGTGCTTTGCAGCCGTTGAAATCAAATGGATAAAAGTATCAAATGTCCGAAATGTATCCCGCGGTTACTTCCGGCCACCAACTGACTCTTAAATACCGCAAAGATTGTTATTGGAAGATAGGCCACTGAAACATTGGGTTTTGTGCGCAATAAGCAGGTTCAAAGCTCATTTACAAGATACACGGAAAAACAGAAAAATTGAACAAATGTAATAATATTATATTTTAATTATATATATAATGGATTTATATTAAAAAAGGGTTTTTTTTTAGAAATAGTCTAACAAGTATCGATAAATGTTTGTATTGATTTGTTGCTATATTAATGAGCCATTAATATTTTTCTTTTCTTTCTATTTTAATTTTTTCCCTTGCTTATGGAAATTTTTCAGTCTTCTTCCCATTAGGAACTGGTTTACATATGCATGCGACACCTTGTTAGCTGGTAAATCACCAGGCGTTCCGGGGAATGACAGTCTGTTCTGCCGGTGGATATTGCATGTTATAGTTGATATATATCACAGGTCTCTTGCAGATGATGATGGATGACAAACGGGCAAAGCCCCTGGAGGGATGCAATTGCCTAATTATATACAAGGCCCTTGCATTTGTCACAATTTAATAAAACCCTATATAGAACGTATCTATGGTATGAGTAACTCTGGTAGACTTGGACCGTTTCCTGTGTATCGAATATTTATGACGTGTGGAGGAACTCGTAACCAGCGTCATTGACTTGAGGTGGCGTTCCCAAAGTTTGTTGCACCCAAAAGAGAGGTTTTCCTAAGCCTAAACACGTAGCTGAAAACCTTCGGTGTCACCTAGTGACACGCATCTCTAAGATACAAATAACACTAGCTAGTAGACTCAAATACAAAACCGCAGCGCGGAGAACAGTGGCGCTCGATTGTTTAACCCGCTCTAGAGTTCCGATCGAGAACCGATCGAGTGAACTCGGTCCACGAAGCTGAAGCTGCTAGTATAAAAAGCTCAGATCAACTCCAGGCATCTCGCAGTATGTTTTATAGGGTCAGCTGGAAAAGATCCTACCCGCAAGTGATTTAAGGAAATATATAGTGATTAATTAGCAGCAGAATGAAAGTGTTCGCGGCGGTAATTCTTTGCATGCTGATTGCCAACGAGGCCAAAGCCCAGTGTGAGTGTTAGCCATGAAAAAATTCCCAAATCGTGGAAATTACGCACAAGTGCGAGGAAGTCCGGTGCACTTCTAATTGAGCCGGTTCCACCAGATTTGCACGCGCCACAATCCCAAGTGGGTAGTTCCCCGAGAAGTGCATCCAAAAAAATTTAATAAATCCCCAATCACTTTGAAAATGTTACCAAATGTTACCAAGATTAAGGCACTGCAAAGATTTGTATCTTGAAGTTTCTTTGAGTGTGCCATGATCAATGTGCAGATAGCCTGAACCGCAAGAATGTCAGAAAAGTGGCGCGCGCATTTAGGGGCATCCCCTGCAGAACCTGATTGTAATGCTTTTATCTCCTCTGCAGATTCGAGATGCCTGAATCCCAACCAAACCCCGGGACTTTGTGTGCTCATTAATGAGTGCCAGACCCTCTACTCCGTGCTGAAGCGGGCCATCTTGACGGATCAGGAGAAGAGCTTCATCAAGTCTTCGGCCTGTGGCAGGGACAGGAACAATCAGCCCTATGTCTGCTGCACCCAGGACACGGGCTATGTGAGGAGCCAACGCCAGGATGTCAACTTTCCGGACTACGATGGATTTGGCGGCGACTGGGAGGAGGAGCGGCCACAGAGTTTCGCTTTTTCCCGGCAAGAAAGACGTCCCTGGAGCTTTGGCAACCAGCCAGCCACCAGCAGAGCACCAGTTCCAAAATCGTCGACTGGCGATGGCTCCACTCTACTGCCTCAGCCGCCCTCCTGCGGGGGCGTGGCTATCAGGAACAGGATTTACGATGGCCAGGACACCGATCTGAACGAGTTTCCCTGGATGGTGCTGCTGGAGTACCGCAGACGAACTGGAAATGGTCTGTCCACCGCCTGTGCAGGATCCCTCATCAATCAGCGATATGTCCTCACAGCGGCCCATTGTTTGACTGGCAGGATCGAGCGGGAAGTTGGAACACTGTGAGTATATGAAGCGGTCTTTCAGGTGACTTTAGCTCAAGAGAATGCATTCTGGTAAATTTGGGGTTTTTTATAGAAAAGCGGCAGGTCAGGCACCTACATGTTCATGAAATTCAAAATTAATTAGTTTTTGTGGTTAAAAACAAGAGATACAAAAGATTTGATCAGCAGTTTATGTAAATCCCTATACTTAGTTCTAATCTCATCGAAAAGTTTCCACAGATTCTAACCACAAGTTGATCCAGACAAGAAAGGTGGAATTTCTTGCTGATCTGTTTTTGGTCATCTATAATAGTTCTGTTAAAACTTACAACTTATCTTAACGCATAATACTGGTTTCGCTGAGTTATCCCCAATATCCAGATTTTATGACAGATTTAGCTTTAGGGGATTTACTATTGATCTGGCCAACCGATTTATGAATGGGCGCCAGATCAATAGACTGATGAATCAAGTTTTGATTTTTCGAATGCTTAGATCTAGTATACAATCCAGTTTCTCGGGATGGGCGAAAGTCAGGCTTATTCACGCTTGTTTGTCCGACAATTCCGCGAAACGGGCTAAAATCTCCGACTAAGTCGGCTAACGAGGCCAAAGGGATCCCCAGACCTGGACCTGGCCAAGTTAGCAAACGTATATACTCGTATATTCAAGAATATTAATTAGACGGTGCTTTGCCGCTTGTTAACTTGTTTCGATGATTCACACAACCCAGGCGTTCGGGTTCTCAATTCGCTCCGCTCTCGATTCGCCGTGGCCAAGCACCAATTAGCTGTTTAATTCTAGTGTTTAATGGCTTAAATGCTCATTAATTGCTTTCGGCTTGTTTCTCATTTGCTTTTTAGTGTCTCGGTGAGACTGGGCGAGCATGACACTCGCACCGCGGTGGACTGCCCCCCAGGTGGAGGAAGTTGCTCGCCGGAGGTGCAGCGTTTGGGCTTCGAGGAGATCCGGGTTCACGAACGATACAGTGAAAAGTCCTCCAATCAGGTGCACGACATTGGTCTCATTCGCTTGGAGCGCAACGTCCGCTACTCGGACAACATCCAACCTATTTGCCTGCCCTCGTCTGTGGGCCCGGAGCCGCGGCAATCCGGCCAGCAGTTCACCGTAGCCGGCTGGGGCCGCACTCTGAAGATGAGCCGCAGTGCCGTCAAGCAAAAGGTGACGGTCAACTACGTGGATCCCGCCAAGTGCCGCCAGAGATTCGCCCAGATCAAGGTGCCCGTGGAGGCCACCCAACTCTGTGCCGGCGGACAATTCCGGCAGGACAGCTGCGATGGCGACTCCGGCGGACCGCTGATGCGATTCCGCGACGAGTCCTGGGTGCTCGAGGGCATCGTGTCCTTTGGCTACAAGTGCGGCCTGAAGGATTGGCCCGGTGTCTACACGAATGTGGCTGCCTATGACATCTGGATCAGGCAGAATGTGAGGGCTTAGCTGCCGAACTCACTGCAGGCTCTAAACAAAAATTGTGATCTTCACCACTTTTAGACTAGTGTAGTAACTGACTTAGATCTTAGTAGACATAAATATTTATTGATGCAAATACAAGTTTTGACTTTAAATGACTTAATTGGGAAAGTTATATCTCAGCAAGCCCACTGAGATTTTTATTGTGTAATTATGAAACAGGAAGTTTGTCCCTTTTGCCTTGACTTATATAGTCATATATATTATGAATACATTTTATAGTATGCGGTTATATCAGTTTAGTAGCTTGTGAAACGCTTTATATTCGTAGCAACCCAACAAGGTGACTGACCTGGTGCGAAAACCTTTGGATTTCCCAGCTGAAGGCGACACCTTCAGCAATCGCGGTCCAAGTGACATTGCCACCGCGCTTTAATTGGCAGAAAACCACAAGAAAACTTCCGGTTTTGGGCAGGTGTTTTGTTCGGAGCCGTGAACGTGGACTTTGGCCAAAACCATTTGGCGGAGCTTTGCCCAGCTGCCGCCGCCGCCTAAAAGCGGGCAATCTTAAAGCCATAAAGCTTTGACCAGCCAAGAGTCAGACTCTCGCCTTGAACGAAAGTGAAACCAGCTGGCCAGCTGAGTCGGTTATGCAATATATATATTATAACCGGACCAGCCGGACGATCGGTATCGGTCGACCTGCCGTGCCGACTACTGCACTTTTGGACTCGTTTTTCGCCGCCTAAGTGGGGCGGGGGCGTCTCATTTGTTGACACCTGAGTTGGAGCTTTGAGCTGGTAGACTGAAGACTGAACACTGGAGACTGAAGACCGGAGACTGTAGACTGAAGACTGAAGACCCGGGGGTCTTCGGCTCTTCCGACTTTTCGGGGTCTTCGGCTTTTCGCTTTTTGGCACTCTGCTTAAGCCAACTGCGTTGCCATTCAGTTTCGGTTCGTAAGCCTTTGCCGCCGCTTCTTCTTGCCAGACGATCGGATTTGGATACGGATTTGGATTTGGCTTGTATCTGCGGTTCAAGATCATAGACATAGATACTGTTACCTATGCTCGGTTGGGTCCTGCGACTATGGCTACTCTTCGGCTGTTTCAACCGCTTCCTGGCTCTGGCCGAGATCCTGCAGGAGTGCGATATACCCAACGAGACGAAGAGGGGAGTCTGCCTGGAGGTGAGCAGGTGCAAGGCGTACCTTCAGGTGCGAAATGCCACCAACTTGCCGGCGGAGAAGGTTAACTTCCTGAAGAAGGTGCAGTGCGAGGTCTCAGAGGCAGAGGGTTCCTACGAATCCCTGGTTTGCTGCCCGGCGAATGGCCAGGATTACCTCTTTCCCGTGCTGCAATTCTCCAAGTTCGAGTACCGAAGATTTCTGGATGTCACCGCCCGATTCAAGCGCAAGAAGCTCAAGCGACGGATTCAAACAGTGGAACCAAGTTCCGGATTCAATTTACTCAATGAGTGCGGCAAACAAGTGACTAATAGAATTTACGGAGGCGAAATCGCCGAGCTGGATGAGTTTCCTTGGCTGGCCCTGCTTGTTTACAACTCGAGTGAGTCCACATTGGTGTAACAAAATTATTAATTATATTGTTTCGACTATTTGATAGTGAAGTACATGCTTTCCACCCATTTTACTCAATCCTTTTAGATGAGTACGGCTGCAGTGGAGCTCTCATAGACGATCGCCATATCCTAACAGCTGCCCACTGCGTTCAAGGCGAAGGAGTTCGTGATCGCCAGGGACTGTGAGTAGAATTTAAACAAATATTTTTTAAGTATATATATACAGAATTTCCCATGCGTCTAGAAAGCATGTGCGTTTGGGCGAGTTCAACGTGAAAACGGAGCCCGACTGCATCGAGGAGCCGAATTATCTGAGCTGCGCGGACGCCGCCTTGGATATTGCCTACGAGAAGATCCATGTGCATCCGGAGTACAAGGAGTTCTCCAACTACAAGTACAATGACATCGCCATTATCCGGCTGAAGCATCCCGTATCCTTCACCCATTTCGTCATGCCCATCTGTTTGCCCAACAAATCCGAGCCGCTGACTTTGGCCGAGGGCCAGATGTTCTCCGTTTCCGGCTGGGGTCGCACGGACTTATGTGAGTATAGCCCAGATATTCGCTATAACCAGTACCCTGGTTATTTTAGATCTGAACTTCTTGAAGCTATGCTAAGTTCTTCTTTCTTTTGAATGCCTGCTTGATAAAGTGATAACGATAAGTCCGTCTTTGCAGTCAACAAGTACTTCATCAACATCCACAGCCCCATAAAGCTGAAGCTGCGCATCCCGTACGTCTCCAACGAGAACTGCACCAAGATCCTGGAGGGATTCGGAGTGCGACTGGGCTCCAAGCAAATCTGTGCCGGCGGCGAGTTCGCCAAGGACACGTGTGCCGGCGACTCCGGAGGACCACTGATGTACTTCGATCGCCAGCACTCGAGGTGGGTGGCCTACGGAGTGGTCAGCTACGGGTTCACCCAGTGTGGGATGGCCGGGAAGCCGGCTGTTTATACTAACGTGGCCGAATACGCCGACTGGATCGACAGTGTTGTGCAGCAGCGGAAGAAAAAGAGCCAACAGACGCAGGCCGAAATGCCTTGACGTCAGATTTCTTTGCATTTGGGTGAGGAACAATGGGCGCCTAATTGAAGTGGGCGGGATTCGGATTCAGATCTGTTTACCTCTATCATACTTACCGTATTTGTACATATTTTGCTAATTATCTAACAGCCATCAACTATTTGGTTAAGCGTGTGAGTGAATGAGTGCGGAATGTGAGTGCCTGTGCGAGCTAACAAAAGTCTGAAAAACATGTTTCTATTTAAATAAACTACTGAATATTTACCCCGTCTGTGGAGTTTAATTGAAACGAGCTGCTGACTCAGCCGGGAAAATGCCACTTTATACTACCGGGAAAAAGTCATCCGAAAAGGTTTTTCAAATTAATGTACCAGGTCAAATTTGTTGTGTATAATTGCTTTTCGAAAATGTAATCAGTTCATTGAACTGGTGGCTAATCCACCATGACACTATTATGACTGAATCAGCCTGTTTATGCAGTGTCATAGGGGCATAACTTTATTTTCAAGTAGTGTCAAGATGTATCTATAATATGTATATGTTTCTTTAAGTGTCTGTTCGAAATCAGCTGTATAACAGCTGTTTGTCCGCTCAGCCAGCTGGTCAAACCCGCCGATGCAGTGGTCTACGGCTTGATGTCGTCATTGATTGCCACACTTTGCTTTCACCCGCCATTCGCGTGCACTCAAAACGTGGCTTAAAAACATGGTCAGCTCGTGAGCCGAGTGATGCAATGGCTGCCAAAAGCAAAAACAAAGCCCAACCAAAAGTCAGCCAAAAGTCAGCCAAAAGTCAGCCAAAAGTCAGCCAAATCGGTGCCCAAATCGATGGCAGGCCCATTCATCAGGCCTGCCTGGGATCCCAAAATAGCCAGAAGCCCAGAAAAGAGCGCTCCATGGGCCATTTGTATGCGATGCGCAGGTGTTGTGGCCAAGTGCCAAGTGCCAGTGGGCCACTGACCAAAATTGGCCAAAAGCCGAGCCGAAAGAAGCCACCGAAGAGAGATGATCCGAGCAGAGTGAATTTCAAGGGGCGACCACTCATCGCCAGTGTGTGCGTCATGGAGTGAAAGTGAACTTGACTCTTTGACGGGCTGCATTTGATTTAGTGCCCCCCACCGGTGATTATGATGTGTGCATTAATATTCATGATGTTTATCAGCTGGCGCCGACACCTGCTCAAAAAAAAAAAACCAAAAACCAGATCCAAGACTTTGGGGCGCCATCCAGCCATCCATTCATACATATGCTTGTGCAGCTCATTATCGGCTTTTTGCCGATTTCTGTTAACCTTGAACCACATACACCCATAAACCCACTCACCGATACAAACTCACACTCGCACAAAATAGATTTTGATTTGGGAATGTGGAATTGGCAAACATGAGTGACATTGAAAAGCTGCGATTTTCGCGGAACGCCCAGCGTGAAACTGGGTGAAATAATAACCGGTTTTCAATCTGATGACTAGCCGATTGGTTCTTCAAACTCAAAATGGAGCGTATTGTATGGGATTCCTATCCCCCACATATTATCTACAACTAATAATAATCTACAAAGAATAAATAGTTACAGATATGAAATGATACGTCTTTAAATTAGTTTTCCAAGCTTGCTGTCTGTAAGTAGGACTTGTCTCTTTATGAGACAAAATAATATATATATTATTATCTGTTTTTCCTTTAACCTTGACGAGTGAAGTATCTCTCGATACCCCTTCTTTGTACTTCAGCTCGTTCTCATTTTCAGATAGTATCTGCACTTGCACGACATCTTCCGCTGGCACGCTGAAATCTGTTTTGCGTTTTAACTCAGTTCCCTCCAGAGACTCAAAGTATAAAGTACTTGTAGATACTTCGAGCCCCTTGTATTCAGATACATACTTATTGGCATGCTGCACAGCTGAAGAGCCGCTTCAATCAAAACATCGGCCAACTGGCGCGACCGCAGGAACATTGAATGGCCAACTGGGCGGAGTAATTCGGTTATGGCCACGCCCACCGGGCAATTATAAAGTCAATTTGAGCTACTTTGGCAGGGGTCCTGCCAAGTCCTGCGAAAAAGTACAAAGAGTGGGGACTTCTAATCAATTTAGCAACGAGGCAACCCCTCAGAAGTTTGATAATTGCATTGGGCTGCGCTTGTGAAAAGTTTGTTTTTTATTGTAAAGAGTAAAGAGTGGGAAATTAGAAGGCAAGCTACAAAATTAGCCATATGGCGAAGAAGAAGGGGTTTTCCCAGGTACGAGCATTTTCCGATGCTTTGTTTTCCCCTCCCTATAAAGCTGGCAATTGCATTCCCATTTCCATTTCCATTTTCATTTAACGGCAGCTGAGACCCTCGACTATAAAACTTTATCGACTTGTTAACTGAGCTTCGTATCAATAAATGCCAACGTGCCACACAGACGTTGACATGCCATTAAATGTCAATGCCAAGTGCGTCTCAGGACACATATCCTGGATCCTTTTCAACTTTTGCATGAGTACGAGGGTGCTCTGCAGCCCTCAAGCCCACGAAATTCCCGAAATTTGCAAGGGTAAGTGCCAGCATTTGGGCCAAATTGTTGTATAAACTCAATGAAATTAAAATGCGAAAAAGAGGGAAATGCGAGTGCAAGTAAATGAATGGAAATAAAAATGGCAATGTAGCCGTATCGCTTTCATTAGTTAATGGATTGTCCGCAGAGAGCAGCATTCGCTGCTTATCACAATAATGCCGCTTATGCGATGAATGGATAGACCCATTTGAATACAGTCGCAGTAGTGCAATCTCAGCTGCACTCTCAACTCAACTCGATTACTCGGAAAATGCGTACTTCATGTGCCAAGATTCCGCATTACTATCCATTCGTAAAGTGCAACTCAAGTAAATCGGTCGCAATGAGAAGCTATCTGCTGCTGGGCATATTTGTGTATTATTTATGCACATTTGTGCAGATTGAGGGCCGCGATGAGGCGATTGAAGAGGTAAGTCTGCTAGCCTATACTATATCTAAGTATCTCATTGAGTATCTGCTTAGGAAAACGACAGCACAAACGCAAATACGCAGCTTGGAAACATTTTGCTCTGCGACAATTTTCAAAACTCTTCTCTGCAGGTAACATTTCTTTGACATTTAACATTTGCCAATCGTGATTATAACAACATATATTTTATGTTTTAGAACAAAACGCGCTTAAACAGATCAAGTTTGGGTCGACGAATGCCAACTGATCACCTGGGAAGAAAACGCAGTAACCATCGGAGAAGAGTACAAACTAGTCGTCGCAACCAAACTACACGCAAACTTAAGTATTCCACACATAAAACTGCTTAAATAAAGATATGTGTATATGATCCGCAGTGTAGTTTTAGTTACACTTCTACACAAAACGTAGACCTCGCATCCCCATAAATATGCAATCGAAATGCCTGGGACGCGACTGTACGCAGCTGAGTACAGTGAAGTCACTCCGGCGCACGTGGCCATCAAATTAAGAATAAATAAAGTCCAGACTACGGGGATTCCTCATAATCGCCTCGTAATGGGAAAACTGTCTAGCGATAATAATCATCACTGTTTTTTTTCTTATAAAGCAATAATCACGCACGTGATGACTTTCGCATTATGGGAAAATCGCTATGCGCGAATTTGCATAGTCCTTTGGCAACCCTCGCGAAAATCTGGCACTCAATGTTTATTAAAAATTAGCAACAAGCTGTTGGCAAAATTATTGCAAAATCAAGCAGACATCCATTTACTTCCTGTGAAATTCGTTTTATTTAATGCGCATGATTGCCTGCAATTATGAAACTTTTTCAATTTAAACTCCATTTCCAACAAGGAGGTTTTGTTATATGGCTCACTAGGTCAGGTTGCAGGTCAAAGCAATAAGGGAATATTTAATTCAAATTACACGAAGGGCGGCGCATTTGCATAAGAAAAGGTGAAACTTAATTATAGCATTTTGTAACATTTTTTTTCTAATTGAACTTTTCCAGCCGCCGAGCAAACAAACCGCCGCCCTGAGGACATTTTTCGGTGGGTGTGGCTGAACAAACAGCGACATATGTGAGTGTCAGTGGTGCGAAAGGGGTGGCGGCCTTAAGCGCATGTTCGCGACTGTACCAAGATGTGAAATTCGTGTCACTTGGGCTGGCAACTAAATAAATAAGGTGCGCAGCAATGCCACACATGGTGGCATGGGTATGGGAAAACACTTGCAAGTTTCCCAAGGTTTCGAGTGGCTTTTCCCTCCAAATTTCCAACATTTTTCTTGGAGAGCTTGCGAAAAGTTGTAGTTGCTCAACATGGACAGTTTTTGCACATTAGCACGCAGCACTCGAGTTAATGCGGGAAATTGGGATAAAGGACCTCTTGAGCCTGTCAGTCAGACACTTTCCACGTCCCTCCACTTTCGGCAGATTGGGAAAGTCAAATACAATTTGATAGCCGGGTCGGACAAAGCCAAAAAAGACCAGTTAACGAGAATGGAGAAAGGTTAGAGTGCCGCAGGCGGGACTTCAGATACAAAACGTTCCAAATTGGACCACATGCGGACCTTGGTGCTCATACAAAAACCCAGACCAGCGATCCCAAAAACATTTGGGCAACCCGCCAACTATGCAAATAACATTAATTGTTTCGCCAAACAAAGGAAATGCAAAACAATAATCACGGAAAATAGGGAAAATGGGCGAGCGGGGAAATGGAAACGATACAATTTGGATTTCGAATTGATGTTGGAAAATTATAATGCACATAACCCTAACTCCGGGCAGTCGCGTTAAGCGGAAGCGATTCGTTTAAATTTGATATGGGATATGCTGTATGCTATATGGGTTACTAGCAGATGAAGGTACAGTACAGTACTGACAGTGCGTACCAACCCCGTAAAGCGATTTCGATGGGCTGTCAGGGGTGGGAGAGCAGAATGCGGATAATACATCAAACACCAACAACCCTGAGCATTTTTGGGTTACAAGGTGAAAGGACCCTGCTCCGCGGACTTCTTTAAGATGCTTTTCAGTACAGCCTCCCATGCTGCGCATGCACTGAGGAAAAAGTTGTGTTATCATATCATTTATCATTTATTGTCATTTCTTATCCTAGGTTTTTAGTTTGCACATATTCTAAAAATTAATTGTAGAAAGTTAAATAATAGGTGACTAACTGGAGCTAAAATACTCTTCTCTGAGTGTCTGGCAAAGTTTTCTTTTAATCGCTCTTGGCGAACGCCGCACAATGGAAGCAGCCTCCTTCCAGCGCCTTTCCCCTTCCATCGCGCCTTCCATCTCCGGTGACTTTCCCCCTCATTGTTGTTGTGCGTGTGTTACAGTCCAGCGATTTGCATATGAATGAACGTAATAAGGCAGCGCAGGCAAATGAAAAGTAAGCAGAGCACCCAACTCCAACTCCAATTCCAACTCCATCTCCAGATGCGTGCCCAAATCCCTATGCATTCGAATCCGTATCCTTACAAAAGAAGGCACATATGGAGTATCCGAAAGTGCCGGTCGTAACTGGTAATGAAACATTCCGCGAGTGCGGAATTAATAGGAATGATTTGTCTTTTGTTGTTGGTCGGGAAGGATTCTCTAAATTGCATTCAAGTGTTTAATTGAGCGGAAGGAGGAGGACCAGAAAGTAGAGATCTCGAGGGGAGAGCAATAAGGACGCAGCAATTCAGCGTAGGGTAAAATATTTAGGGTACTTGTAGCTAAAATTATATTACATTTGGAATATATCAGTACAAGAAGCAGCCGTTCTGTGGTATTCAAATATATCCCTAAAAGGACACTTCCCGGGAAATATCTTCATATGTGCGTGATGTGCTTTAATTTCCAATCCCATTGAGACTTCAAGACAAATGTTGCACTAAATTAAGGTATCCCCTTGAAGGACTCTTAGTACAGCCAGTTCCCTAATTGCAGTCGCAGCGAACTGCTCCTAATCAAGTCCATTTGCCACTCACGCCATTTTCCCTTGATTGACTCCAATTATCGGTTTGCTCCTTTCAGATCCAAATGCCATATCTATCGCCAGTCCATGCACGAATGCTAAAGAAGGAAATTACTTAAATCGGAATTACGCCGCATTGGTTGGCAGGAATAAGGGTCCAGTTCTGGAGTCCTTGGCACGACATCAACATTGAAATTTAATCAACTTGCTTTTTCCGGCCAACTACTCATCGATGCGGATTCTCTTTTTACTATGCTAAGCCGTAGTGACCCACGAAAAGACCCTTCTCGGCACGCATGGAGTTCATTGATTAACGATTTCCACACGAGACTTGAGAACGAGGAGTGAGGAGGGGTAGCGCTTTTCCCCCGAGGGGAAAATGGCAGGACATGCACACACATAATCAAAAAATTAAAATCTCTTTATGTTTTTGTGCGCGCTGATTGAATGGTCCCATTGTTGTTATTGCCGGACAGTTTGATGTGCCATTGATGGACTCGACTAATCGCCGGACTGGCCACCCCTCGGCATAATCGGAATCATTGGAATCATTGGAACCATCATCCCGTGAGCTGAACCCCTGGTCCCTGGTCATCGCCAGTCGAGTGTAATGGATACGAGGAAAAGGACCAGAGCCATTATCCTTTGCCCGCGGGCGCTGGAAAAGCGCTGGGAAAGCGGGAAAACCAGAAAACCAGAAAACCGCGACGGGTAAAATGGAAATTGTTGCTCCTTTGTGCGGCTTCACTTTCACATGTGCCACATCCCATTTTCCCAGGTAGCATTTAATTAAGCCCCAGTGCCGCGAGCTCCTGCTAATCTCTAATCAGGTTATTACCAGACTTTCCAGCGCTTCCCTTTGAGGCTCGCATCCTCTTTGATTCGCTAATTGGGAGTGAGTGTGTGTGTGTGTGAGGGGACAGGGGATTTCACACCTCGTGTCCTCAAAAAGACAATAGAGCTGGTCTGACAGGTTTAGGGTCCTTTGAAGTGGTTCTGGAACAAAGCCAACTTTTGTGCCAGTTTTCATTGTACACACAGCGGAAAATTGCTCTGAAGTGTCTAAGATCCTTTTTATCACAGAGATTGTAAGCTGTAACTTAAATATATAAATAATATTCGCCATAACTTGATATTGGCAGAGGTGGTGCTGAAAGTTTTCACATTTATGGATTTGGATTCAACTTGGATGTGGAGTGACCCTGGACAGCTGCTGGAGTAAGGGAACTGGAACTGCTCAGGAGTCTTAAAGTATCACTCGAGGAATCCAATAAGCCGCCCGAGGCCAAGACAATGGCGCACCAATGATGACAATCATCGGCAACTTGGGCGATGAAATGAGGATGATGACTAAGCGATGTCCACCCTCGGGGAAAGTACAGAAAGAAAGTACTGCTCTTCCTCGCTTTTATTGCAATTTGCGAAAATTTACTGGCGGAGAAAGTGAAAGGAGCAGCAGCGATATTTGATTACGAGTCAATAATGATAAACATAAAGCCAGAGATTGCGAGGAGTGGAGAGTGCTGACATCTGATGCCGGCGACTTTCGCCGCAGGACCTTCGCCAAAGGACCCCCAGTGGACCAGGCGAGGCATTAATTGCCGAAATTAAATTTATTTCCTTCATTAATACATGGATACACCAGGCGAGATGTCAAGTAATCAAGCGCATCCTGTGCCCGGAAAAAGGAGCAGGCAGTGGCTACATTTGAATGACAGCCGAGGTTTGACATTTGCAGCATGTCATGTTGCTTATTAAAAGCATAAATAAGTATAAGTGGATGGTTGAATGGCAGCGATAAGAGCCGGATAATATGGGGGAAAATCCACCCCGAAAAGAAAATATGTGGCACAAGCAAAGGCTTGACCAGTGAAGCCCTAGATGAGAACCAGGTACTGTTCTCGTAAAATTCCAATCAATTTGCAACAAAGAAAATGTCTCAAACTCGCCACAGGACATTTTCACGCACCACAATGCTGCACAATTTGGCCAGGACAATGGCCACAAATCACATTGTGGAAATTGTACAAATCTCTGTCGGAAATTTGGGCCGACAGATAAACAAGTTTTTCCTACACGGCTTCGCTTCCCCTGCCAAAGTGTTCCACTTTTCAACTGTTCGTGTCGTTAATCAATTAACTTTGGACCACTTTTCCACAACCGGACACGCCCCCTCTATTTGGGGGAAACCACCCCGCCCACCGGGTGGCACATGCTTGACCACTTCAATATGTCAAACAAATCAAACACATAAATCCACCCAGTTGCCGCCGAAGCCACACAAAAGATGTTGTCCGAGCAAATATTGAAAAGTGAAAAATTTATATGCTGCCAATATGCGACTCCTTGTGGTCGTCCTTTCATCCTTGATTTATGTCGCAAATTTCTGTAATTT